TCTGGTTCCTCTGCCTTTTCTAAAACCAGCTTGAACATCTGGAAGTTCTCGGTTCACGCATTGCTTAAGCCTGGCTTGGAGAATTTTGAGCATTACTTTACTAGCGTGTGAGATGAGTGCAGTCGTGCGGTAGTTTGAGCATTCTTTGGGATTGCCTTTCTTAGGGATTGGAATGAAAACTGACCTTGTTAGGGGTTATTATCAACCAAGTGAGTTCACTGAGGGGATATGAGACATTTTAGCCGTATTACTCCTAAATATTTTGCTACTACTTTGCTAGGCTGATCTTGAAATTTTCCTTTAACCATCATCTCGCTTAATACAGTGGTGATTTAATTTTTTTTTTCTTTTTTGGTTGCCTTGGATAGGATACTGTGGTGCAGATATTAAGTCAATATGCTCTGAAGCTGCTTTATGTGCTCTGCGTCGACGCTACCCACAGATCTATACCACTAGTGAGAAACTGCAGTTGGATCTCTCTTCAATTAATATCTCAGCTAAGGACTTTGAAGTAGCTATGCGAAAGATGATACCAGCCTCCCAGAGAGCTGTGGCGTCCCCTGGGCAGGCACTGTCCGCCATTGTGAAACCGCTACTGCAGAGCACTGTGCAGAAGATCCTCGAAGCCCTCCGGAGAGTGTTTCCACATGCGGAAAGCAGAACAAATAAAGCGTTAGACTCTGGTATGAAACTTAATTGTTTAGCTTTCGTAGTCAGTAAAACTAAGTATTTTGTACATCTCAGTAATGTTTCTTTATGAGAGAGTTTCTTGAAAGGAATTTGGTCTTGCTTTTCCTAGATATATGAAGGAAGTTTACTTCACAGATTGCCCTAGAGTTCCTCTATTTTAGGTTTGAAGTGCGTTTTAAAAATTTACTTGTTATTTATATGTACACAAACTTTTCTGAAAAAAAATCTCATTGGAGTTGCTAACTGAAGCATTATGTGAAGATCCACTTTATAATTGAGAAAAGCTACTAATGTACACTTTTTTTGCTTGCTTTACAGATATTTCTTGTCCTCTCTTAGAAAGTGACTTGGCATACAGTGATGATGATGTTCCATCAGTATACGAAAATGGACTTTCTCAAAAATCCCTTAATAAGGCAAAAGAAAATTTTAATTTTCTTCATTTGAATAGGTATGTTTCCCTTGAAAATTTATATATATTCATTCTTGTGTGAATTCCCTAAAATTAAATGAAATTATGCTTGAGAAGATAAAGGATGCCAGCTAGTTTGCTTTTTTTTTAAATTAAGATATTAGAAAATATTTTGTTACAGTTGTCATGATGTTAGAAACTATAAAGTATTCCTAAAAATCTGTAAAGTTCGATTGTCTCCAAAAACCACATGAACCATGCTGCTAAGATTGACTGGCCATATTGTCAAAACTTTTGGCTTATAAAAGTTATGTGCTTATAATTGATAATTGGGAGAGAAATTTGAACTTTTTTTCCTAAAACATAGGTTATTACTCATTTCTTTCAGAAATGCTTGTTGTCAACCTATGTCTTTTCGACCAAGAATGCTGATAGTGGGCGAACCAGGATTTGGGCAAGGTTCTCATTTAGCACCAGCTGTCATTCATGCTTTAGAAAAATTTGCAGTATACACTTTAGACATTCCTGTTCTTTTTGGAGTCAGTGCTACATCTCCTGAAGAAACATGTGCCCAGGTAATTCATTGTTGCCCAGACAAATAAGCTGTAAGGTGAAGTAGTCTTCCAGAGACTAAAAGTCTGGAATTGCTTCATTCTTTTTGTACTGTGTTTTTTGGTCTTTCTGATTTCTGATGTCAGGTTTTCAATTTAGAACCATGCCTAACAGCTTAGTTATTAAAAAGTATGACTTTAAATCCTTTTCCACCTCTTAATTGCTATATGACTTGGGAAAGTTTATTAAATCTCTCTGCCCCATTTTCCCCATTTGCAAAATGGAAAAATCAGTACTTTACTTACATGACTGTTGTGAGAATTAAATGAGTGAAGTACTTAAAACAGTGATGGCTATGCAAAAAGTATGCAAATATTCTGCTGCTTCTGTTTTTGCTATAGTTATATTAAAAGTTTGTAAAAGTGTTTTATGTATTTTTATATTTAACCTTGGTTGCCATAACAGAAAAGTCTTGTAGATTTCTTGAGCTGTTTTCTAATTCTCTGAAGCAATTATGTTTTTCTAAAAATGAAACTTTTATGAAAACATTTAAAAACAAGATGGTGGGATTGGGGGAAGCATTTTTTAAACTTAAGGGTTTTATATGACAGTTCTTGGAAGTAAAATTGTTCCAGATTTAAAAAGCACACTGCTAATGTGCTGACTCTATAAGTGTATGTAATTGTTTTCTCTCTCTACTAGGTGATTCGTGAAGCTAAGAGAACAGCACCAAGTATAGTGTATGTTCCTCACATTCACTTGTGGTGGGAAATAGTTGGACCAACACTCAAAGCCACGTTTACCACATTATTACAGAATATTCCTTCTTTTGCTCCAGTTTTACTACTTGCCACTTCTGACAAACCCCATTCCACTCTACCAGAAGAGGTAATTTGTGGGAGAAATCATTATGCTTTAGAGTGGGATATTCATAATCATTATATTTTAAAAGGAGATATTCAGAAACTATTAAGAATTTATGGGGAAAAAATTCAAGTGCTGAAGAGGTGAATAAAATTATAAGGAAAAATTTTCCTATTAAAGATACCGTTGCTAGCTATTTGATACATGTGTTTGTTGGGCAGCACATGTATCAGCACTTGTTGTGGATAGGTGTATGTGTATAGTGAGACCAGGTGGCGCTCGTGGTAAGGAACCTGCCTGCCAGTGCAGGAGATCTGAGAGATGTAGGTTCCATTCCTGGGTCAGGAAAATCCCCTGGAGGAGAGCATGGCAACCCACTCCACTGTTTTTGCCTGGAGAATCCCATGGACAGAGGAGCCTGGCGGACTATAGTCCATAGGGTCGCACAGAGTGGGACATGACTGCAGTGACTTAGCACACATAGTGAGACCACTTTATAAATTTTTTTTCTCTAAATGGAATATGATACATTACTATTCCATAACTTGCTTTATGTATCTTATGTGTTTTTTTAATATGTCTAAGTCTTATTTATTTTAACAGCACCATAGCCTTTGCTGTTGTATTGGTATACCATAATTTTATTTATCCAAGTCTATTGATAAGATTTCAGCTATTTTCTAATTTTTTTCTGTTGAACTGCTACAGTGAGCATTTGGGGGTTTTAAATCATACAAATATTACCATGTGGATTTTTTAACATGCATTCCTAAAAGTGGAATAACTGTAGCTTATTTGAAGGGTATGCATACTTGACATTTTTAATAGTATCAAATTACTGTCGTTCAAATTTGTACCAATTTCAACAGCTACCAGTGACCAGGTTTGTTCTGTTTCTGCTTATGATCCTGTTCTCCAGAGGAACACCTCTGCCCATCACTGTCTTTTCCCTTACTCTGCTTTTTTTTTTCGATTAGTTTGTTTGTTTTTCAATTGGAGTATAATTGCTTTTCAGTGTTGTGTTAGTTTCTGCTGTACAACAACATGAATCAGCTATATGTATACGTATATCCCTTCCCTTTTAAGCCTCCCGCCCACCCTCATCCCACCCCTCTGGTTTGTCTTTGTCACTGCTTGGCATAATATATTAATTTGTTTGAGTCTCTCCTAGCAGAATGTTAAATATGTGAAGTCAGGGACATTTTTCCCACTTTTCTATCCCCAGAGTACATAATAAGCATATTGTAGGCTTCTTTGTGCAAGTGTGTGTGTGTGGTTTTTCCATACCTTTAACAGAATTGATGTACAGTTTTTAGAACACTAGTAGGAAGATAAATTCAAATGTTTAACCTAAAAATACTTTTGAGCACTTATTCTACAACAGACATGGTTATAGGCGTTGGAAATATAGCACTGAGCAATTTAGACAAAAATCTATATCCTCCTGGGGCTTACATTTTAGTTGGGGAAAAGACAAACAAAAATAAAATACAATACTAACCTATTGCTATGGAGAAAAATGTAGCTAAGCAGTGCCAAAAGAGTGTGGTATGGTCACAGTGTTAAATTTGCTGGGTTGGCCTCACTAAGAAGATGACATTTGAGAAAATACCTGGAAAAGGTGAAGTAGTGGCCCATTTGGGTATCTGAGGGACAAAGGTTTCTTGCCTTTGCAAATATAAAAGCCCCAAAGCAAAAGTGAGTCTGATGTGTTAGAAAAATCATAGAAAGTCAAGAGTGACTAAGGCAGAGGGAGTGAAGGGCCGAGAAGGGATTGATGCTAGGGAGCTATCAAAGGGCCAGGTTATGTTCCCAGCTTTAGTAGTTGTGAATTATTCAACTAAAAACTGAATAAATTGGGAAATGAATATTAAGTGTATGTTAAGTCTAGATTCTTAGGGTGGTGAAAGTGAAGTCACTTAGTTGTGTCCAACTCTTTGTGACCCTGTGGACTGTAGCCCACCAGGCTCCTCCATCCGTGGGATTCTCCAGGCAAGAGTACTGGAGTGGGTTGTCATTTCTTTCTCCAGGGGATCTTCCCCACCCAGGGATTGAACCCAGGTCTCCCTCATTGTAGGCAGATGCTTTAGCCACCAAGGAAGTCCTCTTAGGGTGGTAAGAGTCCTTAAAAGTTTCTAATTTAATCACCTAGTTCTGGACCCTAAATTCTATCTTTTGTGTAATAACACCTTTACAATTCATTTTGTTAGTTCTGACTCCTAAAAAAATCAGCTTATTTTGAGAGGCTTCCATTTCTTAATCTCCATTTGTTTCCCAGGTACAATAGAGAATTTGTCTAATCTGTCTTCATCATGGCAAGCTCTTTGTATGTTTGAACATGCTTTTGTATTCATTTCTATTTCCTCACTTTACCCAGGCTTCTTCACACTAAACAGTTCTTCTATGATAAGATATACTTCTTAGGATTCTTAAATACAATGGAAGTTTATTTCTTGCTCACTTACACTATCAGGTAAATGACTGGAGTGACGGGTGTACCCTCCCCCGTGCAGTCATTACAGACATTCAGACTGGGAGAGCATGCTCATTTTCATCACGTGGCTCTCCAGATTATTTTCATTCCACCCAGCTGAAAGGATTGGCCCTTTCTTGTGCCTGGTCTGAAAGTGATACACATCATTTCCTTTCACGTTCCATCGGCTGAACCTCACATAGCCATACCTAACTGCATGGGAGACCAGGGAATATGACATAGCACTGGGCCCAAAAGGAAGAGAACATGAACTGTGACAATAGCAAGCTCTGCTGCACATCACACATATTTTTAGTCTCTTCAAAATTCTAGTCACTCGCCTGAATGTCTTTCTCTTTATATTCCTTTTGAAAGGCTGTACCCAGAATGAATTAAGTACTCTAGCAGTGTTCTGATTAACAGAGTAAAGGAGACTTGCTATTTAGTAGCCACATTAACCATTTATGTATTGTACTCACTGTCAATTAAAACATTATTTCAAGGTTTAAAACAAATTAAGCTTATACTCTTTGTAATAAGGGAGACTAGCTGAACTTTATATGGATGGAGGGAGGTTGAACGGAGAAGGAAATGGCAACCCACTCCAGTGCTCCTGCCTGGAGAATCCCGGGGACGGAGGAGCCTGGTGGGCTGCAGTCCATGGGGTCGCACAGAGTTGGACACGACTGAGTGACTTCATTTTCACTTTTCACTTTCACACATTGGAGAAGGAAATGGCAACCCACTCCAGTGTTCTTACCTGGAGAATCCCAGGGACGGGGGAGCCTGGTGGGCTGCCGTCTATGGCGTCGCACAGAGTCGGACACGACTGAAGCGATTCAGCAGCAGCAGGGAGGTTGAAAAGCCATAATCAGTTTAATCTGGCATAACTTTATCAAGAATGTGGAAACTCTACTTAAAATGTTTCGTCTTTTTTTTTTTTTTTTTTTTTTTTTTTTTTTTTTTTTGCTGTAGTTTCTTCTTTTTTATGATAATATTTCCTAAGTATGTCATTGTAAACTGGGTCGAGTAGCCCAGCATCACCCTGTCCAGGAGGGTGGAATGGGCACTGGACCAAAATTGCTGGTTTCATAAAATGAATAGTCTTTATGGATACAAATAAGCAAGTCTGCTTTGAGCCTTACGTAGTCTCTGTTGTCCTTGGTGAGCTAGTGATATTGTATATGTAGCATTGGACTGTAGTACGTATGAGAAGTAGTATGTATTACAATTTGTCCATCTCAAAACTGCAGTCAGAGTACCTGTATGCACAAGCACTGGTAGACCCTAACAACTCATGAAAAAATGAGAAAGAATGTCAGTAATAGATTAGAAGCTAGGGTGGATTGTGAAACACAAGCAGTGAGGATTAGATGGATGTGGGTAACCACATTTCAGAGTATGTGCATCAAAGGGCTGCTTTGAAAAATGGGAGTGATTTCTAGCCCTAGATCAGTCCCTGGAGGGAATTAAGAGAGTCCTTGAACAACTTTGTGGTTTTTGGCTTTCTTCACTTCTGGCCATTCCAGATAGTAGTTGGCAGAGTTTGTCATCAGCTAGATCAGTGAAGGTGGACCACGGACTAGTGTGGCAGGGCAGTAACTTACCTTTAGGTACTAAATGGGAGGAGTGGGAAGACCCTTTGTCCAGGAAACAAATTACAGGCACATTCTGTTTCTAATATAGCCTACCTTCTTTAATAATCACTGAAAATAGAAACTAGAATAAACAGGAAAAGCATCTATGAACAGTCATATTTGAAAGGCAGAGATAATTTATGAATAAGCATTTGAGGAAGGACAGTGCTATAGAAAGTTATATCCATGCATCAGCAACAGATTGTTATGGAAAAGAACCATTTTGAAGACATTACAAATGAAGGAGCTCCTCCCAAATATAAAACCCTGTAGGGCTAGAAAGACATAGATGAAGAGTGAATTAGCAAGATGAGGGATCTTGACGTCAGGAATTCTTACATAATACAATAGGACAGAGATTTTAAAAGTGAGGAAGAAATTAAAGGAAACAGAGGAGATGATAGATTCAAGTCTGACATCTTTAATGTGATTTATGGGCAGAGAAAAGAAATGTAGAAGAAAAAAATAGTCAAATAATACAACATTTCATAGAATTAAAGAACACCATAATCTTCAGATTTAAAAGGTCCCCTGTTCTAACTGATGGATATAGAAAGAACCATATCTAGATAAAATTTTAGAACATCAAAAATACAGAGAAAAATCTAAAAATCTTCCCAGAGAATAAAACATTACTAGAAAGGACTGAAAATCAAATTCTTTCTACATTTTCACTGGTAACACCAGCTACTATGGAGGCAACTGAGCAATATTTTCAAAGTTAGAAGGAAAATAATTTTGAATCTGTAATTTTCTTCCCAACAAAGTTAGCATTTGAGTGAAAGAGCAAAATATATTTTTGACCATACAGTGCCTAAGAAACTATTACCCACAAACCTCTGACTGAAAGAATTATTAAAAGACAATTTCTTCTCTTGGATTTTGGTTTTTTTTTTTTTTGCATAAGTGCATAAGAAGCAGTGCATGGAGAAAACAGTAAAACTTGTCACAAAATTTTGCTTGTTAACTTTTTTTTGAGGAAGAGGAAAAATATTGCCTCAGATTTTTTGAGCAGAATACTCTTTAAGCCTGATGCAATCAATATGATAGACACTAAATACACAAAAACGTATTTAAGTTACCTTTAAGATCTTGGGTCACTCAGATATCCAAGGAAGGAAGTTGCCAACAAGTAACATTTTTTTAAGTTGTGTGAAACTACGTTAACCTTGCTTCTGAACTCAGACTGGCAGGCAGGAAGGACATCGTGAAGGAGAATCAGGAAGTAAAAGCATCTTCAGATTATGTAGATGTTGATTAGCTTTACAGTTTGATAGGAAAAAAAGCTTAAAGATATTTCTCTTAAAACTTTTAACAGTGAAAGAACAGAAATACAGCATAGAAATAATACATAAAATATCTTTCCTTTTGTGACTGGCTTATTTCCCTTAGCATAGTGTTTTCAGTGTTCATCCATGTTGTAGCCTGTGTTCAAATTTCATTCCTTTTTAGGCTAAATAATATTCTGTTACATGTCTGTACCACATTTTGTTTATCTGCTCATCTGATGATGAACATTTGAGTTGTCTACCTCGTGCCTAACTCCTGAATAATCCTACTATGGTTATTGCTATGCAAGTACCTCTTGAATCTTTTATTTTTTTTCTTCCAATTTTTTTGGATATGTATACTGGGTTACATGGTAATTCTGTGTTTAACTTTTTTGAAGGACCAGTGTACTGTTTTCCACAGTGGCTACACCATTTTAATTCCTACTGACTCAGGAGATCTAATTTCTCCATATTTTTACCAGTTCTTACTGTTTTCCAGCCTTTATTCTTATTGAACAACCACTCATTCTCATATCTCACTTTGGGTTGTGAAAATGAATTAATTGATCTCAGTTCAGTTCAGTCACTCTCGGACTCTTTGCAACACCATGGACTGCAGCACTCCAGGCCTCATTGTCCATCACCAACTCCCAGAGTTTACTCAACTCATGTCCATTGAGTTGGTGATGCCATCCAACCATCTCATCATTCTCTGTTGTCCCCATCTCCTTCAGCCTTCAACCTTTTCCAGCTTCAGGGTTTTTTTCCGGGTTAGTTCTTCACACCAGATGGCCAAAGTATTGGAGTTTCAGCTTCAACATCAGTCCTTCCAATGAATATTCAGGACTGATTTCCTTTAGGATGGACGGGTTTGATTTCCTTGCTGTCCAAGGGACTCTCAAGAGTCTTCTCCAACACCACAGTTCAAAAGCATCAATTCTTCAGCACTCAGCTTTCTTTATAGTACAACTGTCCCATCCATACATGACTACAAAACCCTTTAAGTAAAATATCACCGTATCAGTTAACTGTATGAATTATGGTTTAGGAGTCTTGAGTTCTAAAGAAGACCCCATGGTTTTAGTTCCTTATCCACTGCATATGTGATGTATACGTAAGTTCAGTATAAGTAAAAGATTTAAGAAATTACTCATTACACAACTTAGATTGTCATTACAATAATCTTCTGTTGCATTGAATGATTGATACATAGTATGTATGTGTATACAAACATATATACACACACACACATATATATAATGCATCTTTTTTTTTTAAGGTACAAGAATTATTTATCCGTGACTATGGAGAAATTTTTAATGTCCAGTTACCTAGTAAAGAAGAACGGACACAGTTTTTTGAAGATTTAATTCTGAAGCAAGCTGCTAAGCCTCCTATATCCAGAAAGAAAGCAGGTTAGTTTCTGTATCAAAGTTAATATATAATCATTTTTGAGAAAGTGGAAATGAAATATCAGTTAATGACATTGCCATCTTCTAATAGTCACTCAGTTGTGTCCAACTCTGTGACCCCATGAACTGTAGCCCGCTCGGCTCGTTTGTCCATGGAATTCTGTAGATAAGAATTCTGGAGTGGATAGACATTCCTTTCTGCAGGGGATCTTTCTGACCCAGGAATCAAATCCGGGTCTTCTGCTTTGCAGGAAGATTTTTTTACTACCTGAGCCACCAGGGAAGCTTCTAAGGTTGATACCTCTTACCTATATTTCCTTGTATTTCCCATTAAAATAGACTAAAGTTCTTAAAGCATACAAGGCCTTTCATAGTATAGCCCTAATCATTGTGGAATTTGGGCTGGAATTCATAATATAGCCCCAATCTGTCTTTCCAAGCCCATCTTTGATACTTTGCTCTCTTCTGTCCTTTTCCTTACAAAGCATTCTGTCTTTAAACCATTCAGTGCATATTTGTGTCTTTTCATAATTTAATTCATGCTTGTTCTCTGTCAGTAATGCGTCTGTCCTCAACTTTGTCTCTGTCTATGGAACTACTTTTCCTTCTAGTATAATTTATGTTTTCCTTCCTTAACATCAGACAGAATTAATTGACTACCTTTATGATGTGCTGTACTTTTTTCATACTACTGATATGACATTGTGGTGATGTTATAATTATCTCTTACTACCTTAATAAATTGCCAACTTAGGGAGCAGCACTCTCATATTCCCTTTTTTATCCTGAGTAATTATTAGTGCATTTCTGTTTAAACAAACTCAAACTTTTGTCTTATTTGAAACATTAGCTAAAAAATTAACTAGTCGAAATGACTTCCTCCCACGCACACAGGGAAATTCAATTTTTTTTAATTTTTTTAAATTTTGGAAGTATGATAACACATTTACAGGAAACTTGGAAAATACAGAACAAGGTTATGAATAGTTACATAGAGTTCTATTATATATACAATTATTTTTTTTGAGTAGGTAAATTAAGATTTTTAATTGGAGTTTCAATATCAAACTCTCAAAAGCTAATAGAATGAATATACAGAGAAGTAGAAGGATATAGTAGACCTGAAAAGCACTGTCAGCATAATGAAGATTTATACAGTTTTCACACAATGATAAGATACAAATTCTGTTCAGGTTCCCATAGACTGTAAACTGTGAGACATTGGAACATATGCAGGGACATAAAACAAGCTGCAAAAATTTCATGGTCTAAAGGTATTGAAATCATACAGAGTCTGTTTTCTTAACACTGTGGAATTATGTTAGAGATCAGTATCAAAAGATATTTGAAAATACTTTTAAGTGTGATGTGACATGTACCAAGAGAGATCTTCGACTTAGCCATCAAAAGCCTCAATAAAGTTAGGCTGAAAAAAACACAGAGGGTGATTGCAGAGAAGAAAGCATTTTAATGAGAAATTAGTATTAAAGATACTTTAAACAAAATCACATGTATTTGGAAATTAAATGTCTACTTTTAAACGATGGGTATATCTAAGAAGCCATAACAAGGAAAACTACAAAATATTTGTAATAGAATAAAGACAAAAAGAGAATTTACCAGAATTTGTTGCATGCAGCTGAAGCCGCTCAGTGCAGTTAAATACAATGTGGAGTCTTAAAATAAGATATGAAAACAAATAATGGACACTAGCATGAAATTTTATGAAATTTGAACAAAATTTGTAGCTAGTAATACTGTATCACATGTTAATTTCCTGGTTTTTGTTTTTTTTACAACATAGTATTTCTTTATATTCTCAGAATTGGATTAGATGTTTTAAGCCTCATTCAATTTTTTTTAAACCACTAAGATAATTAATTTTCTAGGCTTTTAGCAGTAATACTAGATACTAAACTGCATGGAACTGTATCAAAGTTTTGAGTGAATATAAATTAGAAATCTGGCATTCTGTTCATACTAAGTCAAACAAGTGGAATCAAATTGTTGTAAACTTTTTTATCTAGGCAAAAATTCATAAATTCTGTAAAATATATACTATATATATATGTATACAAAAGCTTTTCTACTATACTTGATGAAGGCTTGAGAAAGAATGAAGTGAAGTTGCTCAGTTGTGTCCGACTCTTTGCGACCCCAGGGACTGTAGCCCACCAGGCTCCTCTGTCCATGGGATTCTACAGGCAAAAATACTGGAGTGGCCATATTATATTCATTTTTTAAAGAAGGAAAGTTCAAGTGCTTCAAAATTTCCTAATAGCAGAAGCATGCAGTTTTCTGTGGAATCTCAAATGTTGTGTAGCAGTCTGTTTCAATCTTACATTAAAATGACAGGGAAAAAAAAAATACTGGAGTGGGTTGCCGTTTCCTTCTCCAGGGGATCTTCCTGACCCAGGGGTCGAACCCAGGCCTCCCGCATTGCGGGCAGACGCTTTAACCTCTGAGCCACCAGGGAAGCCCTGAGAAAGAATAACAACAACACAAAGAGAGATGGCGAAATTGGAGAACGTAACTAAATGAAATGGGAACACTGAATATGAAATAGAAAAAGTAAAATTAGATGAATAAAATCATCATATAGTCCAGTTGTTTTTAAACGTGGCTGCTCATTAGAAGCACATCTAGAGCTTCAGATGTAGCAATAACTGGGCATTTGTATTTTTCAAAAAATTCTAAGGTAATTCTGTTATGCATCTGGATATTAAAAAGTAGTTACAGGTTTTTCTATTAAAGTGGTCAATTTAGTGATACAGAATTCTGTTATTTTCTGTTGACCAATCATGATACAATAGTATTAAGGGAATAATAGTACATAACCATAATAGTAAAAGATGTTTATCAGTTTTCACAGTCAAGAGCCAGACAAAAAATAAAAGATAATTACAGTTGCAAGCCATAAAGGATTAACCTAACACTTTAAAATAATTTCCTACAATTTAGGGATTAAGTAGAGTGATAAGTGGTAAGTGAAAGTGCATGTATGCACATGTTCTGATCTGCCCAGCCACTCTTGTGTCTTTTGGTTGGTGCATTTAATCCATTTACAGTTAAAGTATCATCAATATGTGTGATCCTATTACCATTTTCTTAATTGTTTGGGGTTTATTTTGTATAGGTCTTTTCCTTCTCGTGTGTTTCCTGCCTAGAAAAGTTCCTTTAGTATTTGTTGTAAAGCTGGTTTGGTGGTGCTGAGTTCTCTTAACTTTTGCATGTCTGGAAAGCATTTGATTTCTCCATCAAATCTAAATGAGAGTCTTGCTGTGTAGAGTATCCTTGGTTATAGGTTCTTCCCTTTCATCACTTTAAATATATCGTGCCATTCCCTTCTGGCTCGTAGAATTTCTGTTGAGAAATCAGCTGGTAAGCTATAGGAGTTCCCTTGTATGTTATTTGTCGTTTTTCCCTTGTTGCTTTTAATATTTTATCTTTGTCTTTAATTTTCATCATTTTGATTATTATGTGTCTTGGTGTGTTCCTCCTTGGGTTTATCCTGCCTGGGACTCTCTGCTTCCTGGACTTAATTGACTATTTCCTTTCCCATGTTAGAGAAATTTTCAGCTGTTATTTCTTCAGATATTTTCTTGGGTCCTTTCTCTTCTTCTAGGACCTGTGTAATGTGAATGTTGGTGTGTTCAGTGCTGTCCCAGAGGTCTCTTAAGGCTGCCTTCATTTTTTTTTCTTTTTTGTTCTTTTTTCTGTTCTGTTCTGTGGCAGTGATTTCCATCATCTGTCCTCCATTCTTAGGTCCTCCAGGTCTTAGCCATTCTTTTGCCTCAGTTATTCTGCTGTTGATTCCTTCTTTAGCAGTAGAAATTGTTCTTCTGTTTCTTCTTTAGTTCTTCTAGGTCTTTCTTATATCTTCTCAATCTTTCTCTCTATTCTTTTTCCAAGATTCTGGATCATCATCACTATACTTACTCTGAATTCTTTTTCTGGAAGGTTGCCAATTTCCACTTTATTTGGATGTTTTTCTGCAGTCTTATTGTGTCCCTTCATCTGGGACAAAGCTCTCTGCTTTTTCATCCTGGTTTACTTTCTGTAGTGTGGTTTTGGTTCCAGCTACTGTGGGATTGTGGTTCTTCTTGCTTCTGTCTGCCCTCTGGTGGAGGAGGCTAAGAGGCTTGTATAAGATTCCTGATGGGAGGGAGTGGTGGTGGGGAAAACTGAGTCTTGCTCTGGTGGGCAGGACTGTGCTCAGTAAAACTAATCCAATTATCCACTGATGAGTGGGATTGTGCTCCCTCCTTGTTAGTTGTTTGACCTGAGGTGACCTAGCCCTGGGGTCTGTGCGCTCTCTGGTAGGGTTAATGGCGACCTCCAGTAGGACTTAGGCCAAGGGGCCCCTTCCAGGACTGCTATTGCCAGGGACCCCAAGCCATGGCCCACCCATACCTCCACAGGAGACACTCTTAACACTAGCAGGTAGGTCTGGTTCAATCTCCTGTGGAGTTACTGCTCCTTTCTCCTGGATCTTGGCATTCACAAGATTTTGTTCATGCCCTCCAAGAGTGGAGTCTTGTTTTTCTCAGTCCTGTGAAAGTCTTGTAATCAAATCCCACTGGCCATCAAAGTCAGGTTCCCTTGAGATTCCCCCATCCTTTTGCTGGATTCTCAAGTTGGGAAGCCTGACATGAGACTCAGAACCTTCACAACAGTAGGAGAACTTCTTTGGTATTGTTGTTCTCCAGATTGTGGGTTGCCCACCTGGAAGGTACGGGGTTTGATTTTATTGTGTTTGTGCCCTCTCCTACCATCTTGTTTCAACTTCTTTGTGTTTGAACATGTGGTATCTTTTTTTGGTGGTTCCAGAATCCTCCTGTCAGTGGTTGTTCAACAGCTAGTTGTGATTTTGGTGCTCTTGCAGGAGGAGATGAGTATACGTCCTTCTGCTCTGCCTTCTTGAGGATGACATTTTTAGTAATTAGGATATTCTTGTCCTGGAAATAGGCATTCAAGATTTTAATAGCCTCTTAAATGATTTTAAAATGATAATGACTCAGCAATTCACATTCCCAGTTACAAACTGCCAATTACTGCTGGAGGAGATATAGAGGGTGAGATTATGGTAGCACTTCAGTATTCCAAATCCCCTGGTTCCTGACAGATAGAAGGAGGATAATTCCTGAAAGCTTGTCTGCTTGGTGTACTGAATTTTGTCACCCTTGATCTGGTGGGAGAGCAGTAACTAACTTCCATTCACGTAAAGTTTTGCAGGCCCTGGAGGTACTCCCTGTGGCACCACCACCTGAGCCAAGACCACTGACAGCAGAAGAACTGAAACGACTAGAAGAGCAAGAGGAAGATACATTTAGAGAACTGAGGATTTTTTTAAGAAATGTTACACATAGGCTTGCTATTGACAAGCGATTCAGAATATTTACTAAACCTGTTGACCCTGATGAGGTATTAATTTAGTCTTTGGATCAGAATGCTTCAGACTTAGAGAATATTTGAATAGTTTTATGTGCGTCCCTCTGTACACTCTGAACTTGCTTTCTTATTTGTAAGCATCAAGTAGTGTTCTCAGCACATAAAGGCTTCAAGAGTTATGTAAGGCATTTTCCTTTCCTGCAGAGGATAGACAATTAACTTTGCCCAACTCAAATGTTCTAGAAGTAACGAGAATGTCTTAATGCTATATGACATTCCTGTGACCTTCACAGTGAAGAATGCAGTCCTAAGTTGGCATTGAAGGGTGGGTGGCATTTGGATGAGCAAAGAAGCTTAAGGTGTTACTGGAGATATAAGTGCCCAAGAATGAGAATGAATACAAAACAAAAGCCACCTTAAATACAGAGTTTCACATTAATATATTTTCATTATCTCTTACGTATATATTCTCTCCTGTTTTGCCTGGCAGAAAAACTTGACTCAAATTTTTCAGTGTTCAGTGTTTGTGATTTGGTCATTTGTTTGAATTTTAGGTTCCCGATTATGTCACCGTAATAAAGCAACCAATGGACCTTTCATCTGTAATCAGTAAAATTGATCTCCACAAGTATCTAACTGTGAAAGACTATTTGAGTGATATTGATCTGATCTGTAGTAATGCTTTAGAATACAATCCAGATAGAGATCCTGGAGGTGAGCACCTAGTGGGTTTTGTTTGGTTTTTTTAACCTCAAGGAGTGGAATGAGGGCTGCTAACACTTAGTGAAGGGTGATTTCATACTCGGTGCTATATTAGAAGCATTTTACATTCACAGTGCCATTCAGTCCTCAGCAAGGTCATACTCCCAGGAAATGGCAAGGGTAGAATTTGGGTGCAAGTTTCTTTCACTCCCAATATAATACAACCTCTAATGAAACACAAAATTGCCTAACAATTTAGATTGTTTTTTTTGTTTGTTTGTCAATGTTCTTTCTCAAAATAGGAAAATAAAAACTCTTTGTAATAAGTTTGAAAGGATTTTTTTAGTTAAGACCATTACAGTTTTTATTACAACAAAGTAATTTAATACTCGCTAACTGGCTAAGTCCCCCATTTCCTTTCTCCTAAGGTAAGTGTAAGTAAGTGTTAGTTGCTCAGTCATGCCCGACTCTTTGAGACCCTGTAGACTGCAGCCCACTAGGCTCCTGTGTCCATGAGATTTTCCAGGCAATGATACTGGAGTAGGTTGCCATTTCCTTCTCCAGGAGATCTTCCCATCCCAGGGATCAAACCCAGGTCTCCTGCACTGCAGGCAGATTCTTTACTGACTGAGCTAAAAGGGGAAGCACTATCTCCAAAGGTGGATGCTGTTAAGTTTAAAGCTATCTTTCCAGACCTTTTCTATGCATAGAATGCATCCACAATCTACCTCACCTACACAGGCTATTAAATAAAATGTATAAAGTAAGAGATTTTTACTGATAGATTTGTTTATATGTATAATGATATATTCAAATATCTATATATTTGTTATAAACTTACTGATTTCCAAAAAATACTCTTTCAGGTTCTTTTTCTTAGCTTCTTTATGAATGCCCTATCCTCAACTGTCTTGGTGGATAATTTTTTTTAATAGTTCTGTTTTCTGTGTTGACTGTAACATTGGCATTCTGTTTTTAAATTTGTCGTGCTTAAAAATTAGATTGATTTTCATCACTGAGACTTTACCCAACAATTAAAAAGCCCACTGTTCTTCCCTCACCAGTCTTCTATCCTACCTTCCCTAGGCTCTGTCCCACAGTTCAGAGTTCTGGAGGTAGCAGTGGGCAACAGGCTGCCAAGTTGGGAAAACCCCTTAATTGTAGAAAGAAGGACGCTTCTCCTGGAGGAAGTGGGCTTATTCTGTTTCCTTGCAGTCATACTGCTGCTGTTTCCCGTTCTGACCGTTCTGACAAATGTAAAATTACTTCTGGACAGTGGTGTTCACACTTGAGGTAGCACCAACATCTCCTTCAGGACATGCTAAGGTGCAGCTGGCCGGGCCTCACCTCTGCCAGTTTTGATTCTTTAGATTTAGGACTGGAGAATGTGCATCCTGACAAGTTCCCACATGGCGCCAAGGCTGCTGCCCTGAATGAACTTGGCCCAGCCTTTCTTCAGGTCATGTTAGAAGCCCTTGGCAGCATCCCTTCTGCTGTAACAGCCCTTCCTGTCTACTGTAAACCGAATGTTGTGTGAATGCTGCAGCAGCCTCGTGCCCTGCGAGGGGGTACTGATCAGCTGTTCAAGCAAATTTACGTTCACTTATGATCCGCCTTTACCTTGAGATGTATTCCTGTTCATGGCACTTAGACTCAGTTTAGGAGTTTTCCCAGTGCTTCCTGTGTAGTGTTGCTGTTTCATTGTCTTTGTTTAGTTTCTCAAGTCAGTGTCATAACATCCTCTATATCTCTTCCAAAATTGTTTTACATCCCCGGTTCACTCATGACACTGATAGCCTTCCTTGCTGTTTTTGAGTCATCATATTGTTGTTTAGTTTTGCTGTTGACTGATTCTTTACATTTTCCCTGGTGTTTCAAAGGGATTTAGCTAGGACAGGACAATGAAATTGGGTTTAGTCTGCTGTGTGGAATCAAATGTCCAGAACATTAGATGAGCATCAAAACCAGAAATAACACAGTTCCAGTAACTTTTACTATTCATGGTGGAAGTAAAAAACAAATTATAATGGCTGTAATCTTAGCCCAACGTGTAAAATTAATTTTTGTTAAATTATTAAAAGGAAACTGTTTTAAAATTCTTTCTTTATTCCATAGATCGTCTTATTAGGCATAGAGCCTGTGCTTTAAGAGATACTGCTTATGCAATAATTAAAGAAGAACTTGATGAAGACTTTGAGCAGCTTTGTGAAGAAATTCAGGAATCTAGAAAGAAAAGAGGTAGAAAAATGATTTGACATCAGAAAAAATGCTTTAAATATATTGAGTACTCATAATTCTCCATGTAATTTTTATATCTGAAAATTTTATTTTGATATTCTGCATGTCTATTTATAAGGTTGTAGCTCTTCCAGATATGCCCCATCTTACTACCATGTAATGCCAAAGCAAAATTCCACTCCTGCTGGTGATAAAAAATCAGATCCAGAGCAAAGTGAAAAGCCAAGGACGCCCAGTACTCCTGTGGCTTGCAGCACTCCTGGTAAGTGCACTTGGGTGATTTTTACTTAGGAAACTCTAGCCTTTATTCTTTTCTGATGCTGTTTGCTTTTCTCCCTCAGTTTCCTTTGTCCATATTGATGCCACTCATTACATTGATTTCATTTATATTAAGGCAACTTTGCATTCTTTAAATAAATCCATGCTTGCAGTGAGGTACCATTTGCCACCCCAGTTCACCTTTCACTTTACAGTCTAATTGTGGGTTGACTTGATGTGAAACTGATTTTCGCTTCCTTTAATCCTAGTCTATTTCCTGTTCCCTCTTTATTCTTAGGGTCTAACTCCACAGAGTACCCACCCAGATTCTGTGGGTTTCCTAAGGCCTCTTCCTTGGCAGGCTCCTACTTCCAGTTTTTGCTTTTAAAACTCTGTGAATATCAGACTGTCCTCAGCTTCTTAGCCTCCCAGCTATTCATCTGTTTTCCCAGATTTGGGTGCCATAATTCCTCAGTGCTTTTAAACAGAATGTTTATAGAAACTATTCATACTAGCCCAACTAATGCCGATCAACAGTAGAATGGAAAAATACGGATTATTATACAGAAGTGAGAATTATTAAACTTCAAGTAAATACAACACTATGGATGACTTTCCCAAACATGAGATTGCAGAGTGGTTATACTGTGTCTAGGCAGAATTTTTAATATCTGTGTACCATAGTTTCTTCATCTATAAAATGATGTTGAGGACTGGTAGCACACCTGATCAGGTTAAAGTGGAATTTCAATGAGTCAGCACATATGAAGGCCTTAGAAGAGTTCCTACTTCCTGGTAAGCACTTGATATGTGTAGGCTGCTTTTAGTCTTGCCCTTTCTTCGGTTCATTCCTCATACTACTGCCGAAATTACTTTTGCAATATGTGCATTTAAAAATTCATACCATTGTTTGAGTTTCCTGAGATGGAAGGGAGGTTCAAGAGGATGGGGATATATGTATACCTATGGCTGATTTCATGTTTGACAGAAAACAACAAAATTCTGTAAAGTGCAATTATCCTTCAATTAAAAAATAAAGAAAGAAAAAAAACTCATGCCTTTGCTCTCCTTAAAATTATTGAACTTTTTAAAAAATTATTCAGGATAAAATCCAGATTCCTTAGAATGACAGGTCATTGCCCACTTTCTGCCTTCTCACACTACTACTTTTGTTCATCTGTTCCAGCCGTACCATACTGTGGTGATGTCTCAGATTTTCCTGTTAATGTCTCAGGAAGTATTGTTTCCTCCACTTAACTTAGACTTTAAAAAGTTGTTGAGTGTTCTCTTACTCTTTTTCTTAAATTCTTTGAAGCTCAGTTGAAGAGAAAAATCCGCAGAAAATCAAAGTGGTACTTGGGCACCATAACAAAACGAAGGAAGATCTCACAGGCAAAAGATGACAGCCAGAATGTCACAGGTGACAGAATTGAGAGTGATACAGAGGAAAATCAAGATACAAGTGTAGACCACAATGAGACCGGAAACACAGGGGAGTCTTCAATGGAAGAAAATGAAAAGCCGCAAAATGCCTCTGAAAGCAAAACAGAATTGGAAAATAACAATTCAGGTGCTTGTATTGAGAATGAACCTGAAGAATCTGGAAAGACTACAGCATGTACAGAATTGAGGAAAGATAAGATTGCTTGTAACGGAGATGCTTCTAGCTCTCAGATAATAGACATTTCTGATGAAAATGAAGCAAAAGGTAAGTCTCAGTGAAGCAACTTACTAATTTTAAAAGATGTTTCATTCAGGGTTCTTTAACAGTTAATTGCATCTCAGTTTACTCTTTTTCCTTGTCTTTGAGAGCACAAGAGTTAATTAGGGAAGGTGGCATTATTTTATTAAATACTAATAAGATTAAATTATTAGTATTAAATAGTAATAAGATATCATTATTTTATTAAATAACAGTAAATGACTGTGGTTAAAAGCACACTATAGTGGGACTTCCCTGGTGGTCCAGTGGCTGAAACTGTGTTCCCAACGCAGGCAACCCCAGTTTGATCCCAGGACAGGAAACTGATCCCATATGCCACAACTGAAAGATCCCACATGCCACAACTAAGACCTGGCGCAGCCAAATAACTAAAACATTTTTTTAAAAAGCACAAGATAGCATCAAACAGACCTGGATTTGAGCCTCTAGTCCACTGCGTAGTAGCTTGTGACCTTGGTTAAGATTCTTGCCCCATCAACCTCAGTTTTCTCATTTGTGAGATTGGGGGTAGATAGTGCTGGGTAATAAGATACTCTGAGGGTTGAATAAAGTAATCCATCTAAAGCATGTAGCAAAGTGCTTGGCTATACAATTTTTAAAACCTGGCAGGATACCCTCTCATTTTAAGCAGGATAAGCAGTTTCCTGTGATTTCTTGCTGAGTTATGTGAAACAACTGTTACTCACCCCCATCATTCCTCTATCCCTATTGTAGGTGAAATCCCAGATCATTTATACTGTATTTATTCTAATGGTCCTGCTCCCAAAGATTTTCATTTAGAATTGTCTTCTGTCGGCATCTTCTTGAACCTTTGGCCTTAGATTTGTTTGGTTTTTGGAAAAGCCAAACATTTAGTCTTACAAAGCAAAAAGAAGGGTAACGAGGTCAAAAATTTGTTTTGGTCAAAAACAAGTATTGACTAAGTTAATGAGACTGGTTTCCTTCAGTGGCTTATATGCTGGAGGTTAATCTTTTTTGAGGACTTCCTTGAAATGAGTTCTACTGTGTTTGCGTAATCTTAGAATGGTTTAGGATATATCCTTTTGAGTGTGAATATTTAAAATGTTAATCCTCTGACTGTAAAATTTTGTATGTTCTATTTAAGTTCAGCATTTATTTTTCATTTATCATTATCTTTTCTAAAAGAACACTATTTAGTGAGACCAGGCACCTATTTACACTTGTCAGGAGATTTGGGTTCTTGTCCTGGCTCTTAGGACAGTTAGGTATGTTGACCTTAGAAAAATCTCTTCGCCTTTCTTTGGCCTTGTTTTTTGGCCTCTTAGTAAGCGGATTGTTCTAGATCAGGGGTGAAGGGCGGATAGTCCCAGCTGCTCGGCCCTGCTGGGAGAGCCATGCTGACACACTTGCTGTGCAGTGGGTGCGGCGGTGTGCTGATAGGACTTGACTTGTGGCGGTAGGCCAGGCTTAGCTTAGTGCAGTGGTCTGTACCGAAGCCCCTTCCAGCTCTTAAATATCCTTCTTTTTTTTAACGTGCTACACAGCATGCAGGAATCTTAGTTCAATCCCGGTGACTAGGGACTGAACCTCTGCCCCCTGCAAGGGAAGCTCAGAGTCCTAAGCATTGGCTTACATATATGCATGCTCAGTCTTTGTGACCCTATGGACTATAGCCTGCTAGGCTTCTCTGTCCATGGGTTTCTCCAGGCAAGAATACTGGAGTAAGTTGAATTTCCTTCTCCACCTAACCACTGGACTGCCAGGCAATTCCCAGTCCTTCATTTTTGAGTGTGTAAATGGTAGCATCTTAATCTTACAGTAGAGTTAATAAATGAGAACAGGGATTTGTGTTTAAGTAAATATTGCCTGCTACTTAATCAGCCTAATGTTTATTTTAGGCATTATAAAATGCCTGTGAAACAAATAGTTATTTTTTCGTTCTAGAAATGTGTGTTCTGCGAATGACTCGAGCTAGACGTTCCCAAGTAGAGCAACAGCAGCTCATCAGTGTTGAAAAGGCTTTGGCAATTCTTTCTCAGCCTACACCCTCACTTGTTGTGGACCATGAGCGACTGAAAGTATGTAAATTAAAATCACAATGCTTTCATTGTATGAATTAGAAACAGCTCACCAAAAGTGGGATTGTAATAGTACGTTATTTCAATTTGGCTTGCAATAAATATATTTTATAGAAAGATAAACTTGGTATAGTTTGACGTTATCAATGAAACTTGGTAACTTTCATTAAGGCAGTGATTGAAGATGACTAGTGTATTAGCATTACTGTTTTTGACATATTAATACTTGTCTGTACCACTTATCCCATACATCGTTCATATGACGATACCTATGACCATTTTAGTTGGTTTTTACTTAACCATGGTTGCATGTTTTTGTTGACTACAAGGCAGTGGAATATCATGATAGGACCAGACTTGAGGAATCACAGAAATTCAGTAAGTCCGTTTCAGTCATGAGAAAAAACTCTGATCAAATGGAAAACCTTTTTTGAAGAAAAGAGCCCTGAAGTAGTGCAGTAGTTCATCATTTATGTCCTGTCTCTTTTTTGTTTCACATAACAATTAATTCTAGCATATATTAATCATAGTGGCATAAAATATTCTACAAAAATGCCTTTTTTCTTGTTAGTCTAGTTTGAGATTATTTTTTAACTTGTCTGAAGAGATTGATGGCTATAATTGAAATTGGCAACCTCCTCAGCTGTAGTTTTAGGATGAGAGGCCAGAGTCATAGAATGTTGATAAAGGTAACTCACAGTTGAATGTCAGAATCACTGTTAGAGACGGCAGTGTCTTATCAGATGACTTGATCTGCCTTCTCTGTAGCTTACATGCTAAAAAATGTCCCTAAATCTTCAAACTAAAATGTCTCTGGGAATTTCTCTCATGTGTGTTTTTCTTTTAGAATCTTTTGAAGATTGTTGTTAAAAAAAGTCAAGAATACAATATTTTTCAGTTGGAAAATTTATATGCTGTAATCAGCCAGTGTATTTATCAGCATCGCAGGGACTATGACAAAACAGCACTTATTCAGGTAAACTCATCTATATGAGAAATTAACTGATTATAAAAATTTCTAAATGCCATTTTTTAATGTGTGGGATTATGAATTATTTGTAGGTACAACCATGTTTTGTACTTTTTAAAATCTAGCACCTAAATTAGCTTGTGTTTCTTTAATAAGTGGAACACTGTAGTATCTATAAACTATGTGTGTGTGTATGAATGAAGATATATAGCTCATGTTTAAGACAGACTTAAGATAGGCCTATTTGTCTTTATTTCATCTGCTTTATAGTGGATGTGTGTGCTTAGTCACTCAGTCATGTCCGACTCTTGGTGACCCCATGGACTGTAGCCTGCCAGACTCCTCATCCATGAGATTCTCCAGGCAAGAATACTGGAGTGGGTTGCCATGCTCTCCTCCAGGGGATCTCCCCAGCCCAGGGATCGAACCCAGGTCTCCCACTCTGCTAGGTGGATTCTTTACCGTCTGAGCCACCAGGGAAGCCCTTATAGTAGATATTCAAGTATTGATGTTAAAAAAATAGATATTGACTGATACCTATATAGTATTTCATATGTATATATACACACACACACACATAACTCATAACTCGTACCTACTATATACCTACTAGTATGTAATATATATAGTATTTAGTATATCTAGTAAAGTATACTGTGGTATCTATATAGTATAAATATATGTAACAGTAGTACCTATAAACTGTTAATATCTGTAAGTACACCAGTGCATTGGTTAATAACTATATAATTTAATGTAAGACGAAAGCATCTCAGACTTTAATTCAAAAGGGATTTAAAGTCCCATCAGTGTTAACAGTCTATGTGATAGCCACAAATACTGAGCAAAATTTGTTTCTCTCTCAGTTATATACATGGGTAATGATGTCCTTAAGGTTGTTCGCTGTGAAAGAAAACCAGCAGTGGAGTGATGTTCTTTAGTGTTTTCTGCATTGAAACTTACTGTTTTTCCCTCCTATCCTTTATCTAGAAAATGCAGCAAGAAGTAGAAAACTTCAGTTGTTCCAGATCATGATGTCATGATACCAAGTATTTTTTATATTCAGTTCCTATTTAATTCACCTTTGTCATGTTGACATAACTAATGCAAGATGAAATTCTGAATCTCTAAGGAAAAGAGTAAAATAGTAATTAAAAATATTTAAACTTTTCTAGTATTTATATACATGTGTAAGATAAATTACAGAGATAACTGATAAATATTTGATTGAACAAGTCATTGTAGTAATACTATTGCTATTGTTATCAGTAAAGTGTGGCCAACTCCTAATAAAGTTTATTTTGATAATTAATGTTTATGGCAACTTAGGAGTAATTAGTGACACCGATAGTTTTTTGTTTTAAGCACTTTTAATTTTATCCTTCCTAAAAATAGTTTATTGTGTCAGACTAGAAACTAGTTAACCATTGTGTCTTTGCCATCGTTTCTGCCTTTAGCATCCTCTGCAGATTCACTTAAAAACTCACGCTTGAGTCATGATTTGCAGGAGGTCCCCTGAATAACTTCTAGGTGAACCACAGCTCTGTACTTGACTATTGGAATTAATGCTTTTTATATAAACATTTTTTATCTTTTAATTTGGATTAATAAAAAATTTTAAATTTTTTGTTTTACTTTTATGGTTATACATACAACAAATGTATTAACGACTACTTTGTTAAATATCTTTTTAACAATGCAAAATTTTTATATATGAAAGCTATTTATATCCTTCTTAGGTTGTATTCTATAGATGCCTTTTGTATACAATTATATAAATGTAAATATTATGAATTTTGTATTAATGATACCAAAAATGCATTTCTTAAAGCAATAAAAGCATTAACTATCATGTATTTCTCCCCCTCCCCCATTTTCTTTGAGACATTCAAGTATTACTTTGCAAAACTTCTTTTGAGGGGAATAGGGGATAATGATCTTGTGAGAGATTCTGGATTCTAATACAGTTTCTGACCTAAATTGCTTTTTGTTGTTGTTTTATCTGGATATTTTATTTAAAGCCTTCTAAAACTCAGCATTTCAGATATCTTAATTAGTAGATACTGTCTATTGTAATGCATAATGGAATACTAGTCACTGAAAATATTTAAGTGTATGTATATTCCTGGATTCTCTCACACACACACACGTCTTCATTTTAGTGAAATTTATTGTAACTTATTCTAGATTCACCTTTTGTAACTAGGATTTTATTTTGTATGTATAGCTTCTGTAATAAATTGTAAAGGTAAAAATTGCTTCTCAGTTCTATTTCTTAATATTTTATAATGTCCTAAAAATAATTCAGTGTAAAACAAGTGCAGAAATCTGTTTTATTACTGTGCATAATTTAAAATGCTGTTGACACTGGAATGTATATATTCTTTAGTTACAAAGACTAATCTGCTCCTGTCCTTTGCATGACATACTGTGTATACACGTGGATAATAATGTATCTACATTGCTACGTAGGCTTTCAAAACCATGCTGAAATTGCAAACCTAGAATGTCTTTCTCTCTCTCTTTTTTTTTTGCTTAAAAGTATAATCAGGCTATTATATAATTTTTTATATATTTATATTTATATAGAATTTAAATAATCAGTAATTTAGACAGGAAAAAGAAACAGAAGGCATCCAAATTTAAAAGGAAGAAGTAAAACTGTATTCACAGGTTATCTTACATACGGAAAACCCTAAAGTATCCACAAAATATTGGTTAGAGCTAATAAATTTGGCAAAGTTGCAGGATAGAAGATCAATATAGAAATCTGTTGTATTTCTGTATACTAGCAACAAATGATTCATAAAAGGAAACTAAGAAATAAATTCCATTTACAATAGCATCTAAGTCAGTAAGACACCTAGGAATAAATTTAACCAAGGAGGTGCAGACTTGTACACTGGTAACTACAAAATGTTGCTGAAAGAAATTGAATAAGACCTAAGTAAATGGAAAGAGATACTGTACTCCTTATTGGAAGACTTAATGTTAAAATGATGGTATTTCCCAAAACAGTCTGCAAATTCCATGCAATACCTTTCAAAATCCCAATGGCCTTTTTGCAGAAATGGGAAAGTCAATCCAAAATTCATAATGAAACTGCAGGGGACCCTGAATAGCCAAAACAATCTTGAAAAAAGAAAAGGAAGTTGGAAGACTCGTACTTTTTTATTCCAAACTTTACAGGAAGTTACATTAATAAGACAGTGTGGTATTGGCATAAGGGATCGACATACAGATCAATGGAATAGAGTTGAGAGTTCAGAAAGAAGTATATATCTGTGGTCAGTTGATTCTAACAATGGTGCCCCAGACCATTCAATGGGGAGAGAATAGTGTCTTCAACAGATGGTGCTGGGAAAGCAATATTCACATGCCAAGGGATGAGGTTGGACATCTACCCCACACCATATATAAAACTTAACACAAAATGGGTAGAAGACCTAAATTAAGAGCTAAACTATAAAATTCTTAAGATGAAAACATGACCTCAAATTTGATGATGATTTCTTAAATGTGGCTCAAAAAATACTATAGCAACTGAAGGAAAATCGAATTCATCAAAATTAAAAATGTTCATGGTTCTTCATATAGTATGTATGTTATAATTATTACATAATTATGTAATTTGATATAATACTATCTTAAAACTCAACAAGAAAAAGACCATCCAGTAATGGCTGTTTATTATGACTTAACAGTTTTGAGGAGTACTGGTCAGATATTTTAGAAGATCCCCCTTTTTGGGAATTAGTCTGTTTTTCTCAAGATTAGGTGGGGGTTATGGGGGAGGAAGTTCACAGGTGAAAAGTGATCATACCAAGGTTACATGCTCTCAGTGTGAGTTATGACTTGATTAATCTTGATCACTTGGCAGAAGTAGTGTTTCTCATGTTTCTCCATTATGAAATTACTCTTTGGGTACTGTGCTCTGGAAGGTCACTGTATAGCTCAGTCTGAAGGAATGAGAAATTATGTTCCGTCCACCCCCTCTTTTTTTTTAAACTGTTTCTATCAGTAATCCCTGTTAAGTGTGCACTGTGGGATCAACTGAGATTATTTGTCTCATTATCTTCTTTTCAGTACCAACCTCCTGCCATGTAACACAGAGAATACATTTTCACTCAAAATAATGCAATTCTATAATATCTATAGACTCTTACTAAGATTCTATAATAAAAGGGCCTTTACTAGAACTTGAGCATACAGTAACTATTTACTGATGGATATTATATGAGGGGTAAAAACTCTGATTTTAATTGACCTATAGTTGATTTGTAATGTTGTGTTAGTTTCATGTATACAGCAAAGTGATTCAGTTATATATATATATATATCTGTGCATCAGTGTATCTGCTGCCTGGAAAACATATATATTTTTATTTTTTAAACATATATTTCTAGGGACTTCTCTGGTGGTCCAGTGGTTAAGATTCCTAGTGGTTAAGACTTCCAATGCAGAGGGCATTAGTTCCTGGTGGAGGAACTAAGATCCCACCTGCCACATGGCACAGCCAAAAAATATATTTATCAAATGTATATATAAGCAGAGAAGGGCAGAAGTGCTCTCAGCCCTTCCCTTCCAAAGACCTTTCCCAGAAACTGTGCACACTTCCTTTTTTTATCTCATTGGCTAGAACTTAAGTCACATGGCCACATTTTATTGCAATGAAATAGAGAAAGAGAGAAGAAATAGCTGGAATTCCAGAAAGTTCAGGGACAATAATGTTTTTAATGCTTAGGGTCTTACTCTAGGACTTGTTGCTTCTTGCTTATAGGAAGTAAAAGCTGAAAAAGGAAGGAACCACTGAGTCCTTGAACACACAGGTGGTGTGGCCAAATGGACTTAAAAGCTTTTCTTAGATGACTAGAGAAATGACTGGCTAGAGACAGAAGAGTCAAAAGAACAACCTAGGAGGCATTTTTGTAAAGACTTAATAAGACCCTGCTTAGTAATACAGTGCATATTAAATAAGATAATTCCACTGTGGCTTCCTCAGTGGCGCTAGTGGTAAAGAACCTGCCAGCCAATGCAGGAGACATTAAGAGATGCAGGTTCAATCCCTAGGTTGGGGAGATCCTCTGGAGGAGGAATGCAGCAAGAGCTCCTGCCTGGTTCGTTTTCTGCTCTTTGCCCTCTGCCATCCACTCTCCATTCAGTAACTAAAATATTTTTTGAAGGAACTCAGGTGTGATACCACCATTTTCTCATACTCACTGTTTCCCATTACAGATCCTTGTTACGGCTCCCACACATCTCTCAGCTTCCTCTCCCCACTCTTCTGGTTCATGACACTAGCCACACTTAGACTTTTTTCAGTTCTTTTTTTCTACCTCTGGACTTTTTCATGTTATTGTTCCTTGTCTAGAATGCCCTTCCTCTCCCCAGTGCCTATCTAACTCCTACTTCTTTATTTTCAGCATAAAAGTAACCAATTAAGAGAAGTTACTCCCTCCCAATCTAAAACATTCATCTCATTTAATCCCTAATGGTCTTACATGACACTGATCATAATATTTTACTATGTATTCTCTGATGTTTAATATTTACCTCACCACAAGATCATAGACTTTTTAAAGTTAGGAGCTAAGTTTGTTTCATTTTTATGATTATAGATCTAGCACTTACATAATAGGTTCATAGTTGACACTAAATAAATATCACTTGATTTAATGATTACATAGTGGATGAAGGGAGCAGAGCAGAGTAAGGAGCAGGACAGGAAGAGATGAAGTTACTAGAAATAGAGACCTCTGGGGGTTATTGTGAGTGAAAGCCTGTAGTTCAGAAAAGCAGAGTGGAATCTAGGTAATAGCATCTAATTAAAAAAAAAATACAAAGTAATAGTTTTAGAAACTACTTCTGTTAGATTTATCCCATTTCAAGGTTATAAAAAGAACAGTTTTTTACTGCCGTTTGCTAATAGTTGTCCACATATTGGGCATCCTCATGAAATTGAAACCCATCCAGTTAATGATTGTACAGTCTTAGTTTTGCATAGTCAGAAAAAGAAATTGAGGCTTAGATTAGCTAATTTACTCAGCTTCACAGACAAGTGGCAGAAGCAGGACTCTTATTAGGTCTGTGTGATTGAAATCCATGTTCTTAATCACCTCCCCTGAGCACGCTGTAGGTGCCCTACT